CACCTGGGCGGCCGCGGCGGCACCAGGCGGCGGCTGGGGGCGCGCGATGGAGGCCGAGTGCGGGAGCTCGTGGGCCCTGGGGCTGCTGCGCACCTTCGAAGCGGGCGAGTTCGCGGGCTGGGAGAAGGTCGGCTCGGGCGGCTTCGGGCAGGTGTACAAGGTCCGCCACGTCCACTGGAAGACATGGCTCGCCATCAAGTGCTCGCCTAGCCTGCACGTCGACGACAGGTCAGCGGCCCGGGCGGGGCGGCGCAGGGGCTGGCGACAGGGGGGGCGTCTCCAAGGCCCGCTGCGGCCGGGCAGGGGCGCGGGGCTGGATTCCGGGGTTCTCCGGCACTCACCTGAGTTACCTGTGGAGCCACCTCCAGAGAAAAAAGCAGCGGCGTCAGCTCCACCGGCCCCGGCCAGGGGACAGAGGGAGGGGCTTGGTGAGCTTTGGGTTGGATTCGGCACGTCGGGGGTCCCGGCGCTCAGCATCTCCGGGGGCGCTGGGGTCGGGGGCGCCGCGTCGGTCCTCACCAAGAGCCGTTGGTGCTTTGTTCGGTTTTCCAGTCCCTGTTCCTAGTGTGGCTCTGGGAAACCCGGGCTCTCAGTGCGCCGGGGACTCGCGTCTCCGCCGCAGAGAACTGAGGCTTTTGCTGTCGCGGCCCGGAACCGGCCTGCGCGCTGCGGTCTGGCCGGCCTTGGGACAATTGCAGTGTGGGATGTGGGCTTTACTTAGCTCCGTGCGCTCACGTAGTAATTTACGCTGGAGCACAAATTGCTGTAAGGCGGTAATTATTTCGGTCGGAAGCTCTGGCTTGGCACGGGCGCGCCTCTTTCGCGCCCGGGCGCGCGCGTTGAGGCTGCGGGGTTCGGGCCTGCCGGGGCTGGGCAGGGGGCCGGGGCCGGCCGGGCGCTTTCCCTCCGCACACTCTCTTTTTCTGCCGGGGCTGGGGAGGGGGCCGGCCGCCGCCTTGCACTAACCTGCTTTGTGGCCATGCCATGGGGCCACCCAGCGCCAATTACCTCGTCCCAAAACCAGAACGGAACTGTGCCTCACACTTCCCTCCGCAAAAGTGCTCAATTTAATGAGGACAATTACTGGGACGCAGAGCCGTTCCCTGTTAAATTCGGTGGGTCGGTTGTGGATGCGCGTAATTTCAGGGGTGGGGAGGGGAGAGGAGGGACTTGAAAATCAACTTTTTTTTTTTTTTCAGATTTCACAATTTATTGTTGAGTTGTAATATTTACATGTAAGCTTCAAGTTAGCACACTGGTTTTGCTTATCCTTTAATGAACTTTGTATTCTACCTGGAAGTTATTTCTATTTGTATTCAGCTGCTGGCTTTTTGCTGTCAGCCTCCAACCCAGTGATTCCTGGGAACTTTCGTGGAGTGGTGACAAGTATCCTAGAAATACCACTAGCTCAGATGCAACGCTTGTTGAGGCTCTGCAGACTCTAACTTACTGCTGCTGGTCCTGGGAATTTCTTAGGCCAGGAAGGGGCGCTGTGGTTATTTTGATGAAATCCCAAACCCTTTGAATTCCAGCCCAGTGGTTAGATTCTGGAAGGCAGGACCTGCTCCTAGGGGCATTTTTGTGCTCTTGGGGACCGCTGCCTGATGGAGTCTCTAGTGGAGTGAGCTTTGCTCGTTGGTGAAAGCTTTTACATGATTTCTTGTATTGGAAGGGCAGCGCACACAGCTCTCCTCCAGGCTGACTCATTAGCCGTAACCCTAGAATCTTCTGTTATTTTCAATGACCAGCCCCTGGTTTCTTGGGTGGCCAACTTGGAAAGTAGGGTTTCTCTGCTTGAGGCGGGCCACTTAGGCTATTGCATTGCCGGTTGGAACAGTGTTTTGTCCTTTTCCTGGAAGCCTTTCCTGCCCTGCCCCAACCAGGCAGGTGGTGGCTTGCACTGGGTGGCAATGGCGAGGTCAACATCGCCCAGCAGGAAGCACCTCACCTGCAGGTTGCTGGGCAAGGCAGAATGGATTGGAGGTTTTTGCATTTGTAGCGATGGCTGGTTTCTTTGATTGAGAAGATGGTCACACGCCTGCTCTTTTTAAAGAAGGCGACTCCTTTGGGTTCATTGACTGTGTTGGGCTTGTGGTTCTGGTTAGGAATTTGTGTCAGTCCCGCTATGGTGGGAGTCCCCAGGTGGCAGAAATGGTTAAACGCTCGACTACTAGCAGAGAGGTTGACAGTTTAAACCGACCCCGGAGGTGCCTCAGAAGACGGGCCTGGTGATCTGCTTCCGAAAGGTCACAGCCTTGAAAACCCTATGGAGCAGTTCTCCTCTGCACACATGGGGTCGCCGTGGGTCGTAATCGACTCGACGGGGACTAATGACAGCAACTGCTATGGTGCGGCGGGAGCTGGTTCCAGTCCGTCTTGCCCAGTTGCATATAAACTTTGTGATGGTCACTGAGTCCTGCTCACTTTGTGGCAGGTCGTCCCTAGTGCTGATTTGATGAGCTGCTTCCCAACCCCACCCCACAATTTGCAAGGAGTTTCCTGGAGTGTGGAAGAGGATTTTCTGTGTGCCCCCAGTCCTGTGCCCCTGCCCAGCTAAGTCTGTCTCCCCTGATGGAGAAACTGCACCCCTCACCCCTGCTGAGGCTCTGTCCTCCAAAGTGATACAAGAGATCAGAAGTCATTATGACTCTTCCATTTGTTACATAGGGACCCACCACAGGTGCTGGGCGAGCTGGCATCTGTTCCTCGGCAGGGCTGCTTGTCCTTCAGGGCGGGCTGGGGTCTCCTGGCTCCCCGCTCTGCCCTGGCTCCAGCCTGGTGCCCCGCCTGTATAGCAGGCCCTGATCCCCAGCACTCATTCCGGGGTCCTCATGGGAGCGGGCGTTTCTGTGCAGGAAAGGTCAGGGCTGCCAAAACACCTGCCCAGGGGACCGTGAGGTAATCCTCAGTGACCCCCCTCCACCCCACGTTTATCCAGGTTTCCCCATTCCCGGGCGCCTTATGCCCCTTGGTGGCCTCGGGAGGGCCTTGTCTCCAGTGGCTTTGGGGAGGTCTCTGGCCTCCCTGGCTGGCCCTCATTACGGGTCACGGGGACTGGGCTGCAGGCTCGGGGTTGGCTCCTGTTACTAGGCAGAAGAGAAAAGTGAGCCCAAGGGCCCCGTTTCTCCCCGCCCAGCCCGGCGTGAGAGAGGAAGCCCGAGGAGCAATAACAAAGCAGCAGCTAGCGGCGTTTGCAGTCGGCGGCTAGTCGGGGCGAGCCCGAGCAGACCCCGCATTCGTAACTGCAGCGTTGTCAATTGGACAAGCCCGCTGCTTGTTAGTTTTAAACACAGCAGTGTGGGAACCCCTCCGCGTGCCCTGGGAACGTAATTGGATTGGCACGGAGCAGAAAGCCGGAGCCGAGAGGCATCAGCTAACAAAATGATTAAAACATTGTTCCCTGTTGCCTTTTCCCAAAGGTGGTTCCCCAGCTGTCTTCTTCGGAGGAGCTCTTTGTCACCTGAGCGCCTTTCACACACCCCATGCTTTTTTTCCCTCGGCCCGCAGTTTACCTGTGCACCAGGTGTGCCCCAGGGCCCGCTTCTTTTCCCCTTTCCAAGGTAAATGGTTCTAGAGAGGGAAATCGCGGCTTCCCCTCGACATCCTCTGGTCTCCGGCATTTCCATGTGAGCCCAGAGGAGACCTTGTGGTGTCTTGAGAAAGTATCATTTGGAAATGGTCGGTATGATGATAATTTTGATCCTTCTCCTCTGATACCCTCCTGGGCGTTTTAGGCCAGCCCTAAGCGAGGAGAAAAGGGAACTCACGTAGATGCTATTACCAACCAACCAACCCAGTTGTCATCGAGTTGATTCATGAACAGTGGAATCCCAAGCCGGGGTCCTGCTAGTGGCCGGAGACTTGCTCTCTCGCATCAAGAAGGGCCCTGGGGGAGCTTCAGGAACTTTCTTGCCCGGAAACAGTATTAGGAACCATTTCCCCCAACATCAAAGGAGAAGAGGTTTTCAAAATGGTTGTGGAAGAGAAACATGACGTTATCCTCCTGAATTCTGCCTAATTGCGTATACGCCTGTAACAAGTCACAGCTGTTAATGTTGTGCTTTAGTTAAGACTGATGTCAGCAGGTGCTGATGGCTGAAAATGGGCATTTCAGTGTTAACAGTAGAAAATGCAGTTCAGTGATGATGTGATTAGGACAAGACTTGGCACCGGGGTGTTTGTTTGGGGTGTTCCCCGGCCCCCCACCCCCAGCACTAAAGCTCCGGTTCTTAATAGTAGACATAATAATAAGGAGCCCTGGTGGCACAGTGGTTAAGCGCTCAGCTGCTAACCAAAATGTCGGTGGTTTGAACCCCCCCCCCCAGTGGCTCTGCAGGAGAAAAGACCTGACGATCTGTTTCCATAAAGATTCCAATTATCCATTGCCATTGAGTCAATTCCAACTCATAGCGACCCTATAGGACAGAGTAGAACTGCCCCACAGCGTTTCCAAGGAGCAGCTGGTGGATTCGAACTGCTGACCTTTTGGTTAGCAGCTGTAGCTCTTAACCACTACGCCACCAGGATTTTCCCATAAAGATTACAGCCTAGAAAACCCTATGGGACTTTCTCCTTTGTCCTATAGGGTGGCTACGTGGCACACCACAACAACCAAAACCAAAGCAAGCCCATTGCTGCTGAGTTGATTCTGACTCATAGCGACCCTATAGGACAGAGTAGAACTGCCCCACAGCGTTTCCAAGGAGCAGCTGGTGGATTCGAACTGCTGACCTTTTGGTTAGCAGCTGTAGCTCTTAACCACTGCACCACCAAGTAGTAAATCTACAGTTCCTTTTGTGTGGTCCCCGTCACAAGCCAGAAACACTGTGTAGAGGAAGAAAAGGTTTTCTAAAAATATGATTGCCCCTTGACAAACAGTTGTTTCTTCTTGTGCTCTCACCACTTTATGAATTCTTCATTGGAAATGTCTTTTCTTGCTGTTCCCCTAGCACCTGAGCGCTGAGAGACCCATTTTAGGCTCATTGAATTGCAAATGCTGCCAGGGACATCCCATCTGAAAGGGCTGTGGCTTCCTGAAGCCAGGGAGGGCCCCTGGGCGTGTTTCTCCAGCGACTGAAGAATGAGGCTGAAAGGACAGGGTCAGTTGTTTGGATTTGGCTCACCAAAAAAAAAAAAAAAACCAAACCCCTTGCCATCTAGAAGAGGTGATCTGCAGCCTTCCTTGTCACTGTTGTTACAGAAACCAAAAACCAAACCTATTGTCGAGT